TTTTAAATGCTTTGATAATAGTCTCAGGGGAAAAGTTGTCGTCATTGAAGATAATCATAGCTCAAGTTTATGAGTTCTATTATTTTTTAATACTATTTTTGAGTTTTTGTATATATCTAGAAGTAAAGTGTATTTTTACAGTATCTGTTTGTTTTCCAACCAGTGATACAAACAAAGTGTTTAAGACCAGCCCACGTGCCCGTCACTTTAAGACTTCTTCGGTAGTGACTCCACCTCCAATCCACCTGAATGGAACGGTCAACAAGGAGGTAGGTGGGTGGAATCTTTAAACTGGTAAAACGCATTCTCTGTGGTATAAACTACTAGTCATTATAAGAGTGTACCTCACCCATCGGGGTCTAGGGGTTAGATTCATTCTCGGTTTCCCATTTAATTGACAATTTCCTATAAATGTGATAAGTGTTATCAGAATTACGTAATTTCTGCTATGGCCTGCAGTGTATATTGGGTGGCTGAGCAGCGGGATGGTAGTAGTCCACAGTGACCAGGTTTAATTTGCACTTTGCTTGTGGTGTAATTTGTGGCAGTAATTGCACTGAGATGACACGTGATTGTCCTATTTACAGTACCCGAGTCGTAATAATCTGGCGAGTGTGAGCAGTTTCATGAATTCGTCTCCTGACAGTAAAGGTAAGATACCCCCCAAACCGGCTAGATCGGGGTAAGACTTTTTTTAATGAGTTATGTTGATGGACAGTGAGGATTAGAGAGTAGCCCAGTACTCAACAAGAAAGAAAATGGAAAATATAAAAAGAATGAAGCGTGAATAAAAACAAAAAAGATTATTATTGATTTACTTGGTAAAATCTTCTGTTTTAAAAAATATAGCACTAAATATCAATAATACGTATTGGTTATAGTATTGGTTTCCCTGTAAAGTTGTGCCCAGGATCCTTTGAACATCACAGCCGTGGGCCAACGAATGGGCTTTGGGATAATATTTTTTTTTTTCTCTTTTTGCCCTTTAACCTTTATGATAAAGTTGGAGTAAGATAATGCATTGCATTGGTATTGCTCATAATGTGAATGTACTTCAATAATTAATGAATACATTCGTCAAATATTTTGTCAATTAGGTCCCCACCGTGTTATCAATGCCAACAGATGTCCTGATAATGGAATGACATTAACTTTGTATACATGGCCAGAACTACGTTAGAAAAAGGGTTTCTGCAAGGGGATTGAGAGATTGTACTGACTGTAAATTAAGGGGTATTAATGGGTTGGTGCAGCCTTGAACCAATTAGATGTCAAAATGATGCACAGCATGAAATGGGACAAAATACAAGCTTTCCCTACACACAACCCCCGGTTTGGAAATAGTGAAACCACCACAATTTATTCTCCGTTCGATAAAAATCACACTTTATCAGATTGTTTGGATAGGTTTAAAAAAAGTTTGCCTCGTTTGAAAAATAGAATATTCAAGGATATAATAGTTAATGTACGAGGGGAATAATGCGTTGATCTTAAGAGAAATCAAATTGTAATTTTGGAATTAAAAAGGATTGTTTTTTTCCTTTTTGTGGCACAAATGGAAATCTCATCAAGTTGGATTTTTATTTATTTTTGGGGATCGTCAGCAGAACCAGATATGTGAAAGGCTGAACGTGTTTTACTTGGAATCTTGTTTGATACCTGGATTACTATGTAACTCTGAGGAAGTTATCTAGGTAGAATTAACAGCTTGCACCCTAGTACCACTCTCTAGATAGCGTGTGCAATGCTGTGGCTTCCTGTGGACAGACTGTCTTTCTCCTGCCTTTGAAATTACTTTTTGACACTGTGTAACATGACTTTCTTATAGAGAAAAAAGAGATCCTGAGCAGCATTAAGAGCATTGCGGTGAAGGCGGCCCGACGCAGATCTCGGGTTATAGAAGGGGACCGACGGCAGCTGCTACGTCCGATGAAAGAGAGAAGTAACCTGTCTGTTCACTCACTGAGTGAGAGTGAGGACATGCCGTACAGAGTCCCAGGATTGCCGAGCTCTCCCTTTCCCCACGCGGTTAGCGAAGACAATCTATCCACCAGCACTGGAGAAATGGCGACCGCGCCGACAATGGGCAAAAACCGCAGCATTTCCCCCAACCTCTGGCAGCGGGAACAAAAAAAAGGAAAACAAAAACTGAAGAGAGAAGAGTCTATAGAGGTGAAACGCCGAAAGAAAAGGTCAAGGTCATTTGAGGTCACCGGTCAAGGGGTAAGAAACACAAAGTCTTTCATGTTAGACCCTGTGGCAGTCTAATATAACCTGTTTTAAAGGACAAATCACTGCCAGCTTTATAGTTTCCAGTATTGTTTGACAGAAAAAGGATCCGTATTGCTAACATTTCATATTTGTTCCTGCAGCTTGTCCGTCCAAAGAATCATGCCAAACTGACTCTGGAGAGTAGTTCTGACCACAAACTTCTGACTGTTGTCCCCCAAACCCTCAACAACCGACTACCTGGGAAAGTGATACTTCCAATAGCCCAGGTCAAGCTTCCGCAGAACCAGACCGGTTAGTGTGCTGAATTCTATGTCACAGCATGTACGACACATACTTAGCTCAAAGATGTAGCCAATGTTAATTATGTATCTACATATTATTCTGATGTGTTGGAAGCCCAATATTTACATTAGTAGATAGAAAAATAGCCAACCTCTCGATCAAGACTTGGTAAAAGTTTTCAGGAGAACCAGAACATTAAATTATTTTGGTTGTCCCATTAACTAGCCTGTCTCCAGGCCGACAAAGTTTGTAGGTTGAATCCCTTATTGAGGTTTCATTTTTTTTAGGCACCATGATTAATATGGCTGACCAGCAGGGACATCCCACCAGCCAGACCGGAAACACCAAAAAGCCGATGCCCACCAACCAGCGGCCACGTTTTAGCTACGTAAATACAAACTCTTCCAGTGTTTATGGGAAAGAAAGCAAGGCTCGGAAACACTAACTTCAAGTGTAAAACTGCTGCTAACGCAAGAGTTTGGGACTTTATATGTCGTGAAATGGATGGAATCGTGGGCATAAGAAATGCAAAAAAAAAATTCAATATTTTTTAAATCCGTATGAATAAAATGTACATGAATTTTGATTCCTAACTGGTATTTTCCTATTTCTACAAACTTTGATGTGGGAACAAAATGGCTGTCCTCCTTTTTTTTGGATGCAGAGTCCATAAGAGACCCTTTCTTCCATTGTTGGCCTCCGTGTCTCCAGGGATTTAATTCAAAGTATAATTATTCACACTACCTGCAATGTATTTTTTACATTTATCAACAAGTATTTTCTTTTTAATAATGAAATAAAGGTGTTATGTACCATAATTAGGTGACACAACTGGACCACTATTCCTATGTCTATATGTTATATCTACTGAATATATCATAACTAATGGAAGGTACTTAAAGAGCATTTAATGATGTAATAATCACTTTGTGTGAAAGAGTTAATAATAGATTACTGCAATATGTGGCTCATATCCAATTAAGGTATTACAGCGGTTATTCCCCTCCGCCAAAATTACTCAGCGGAATTGGGAACACATCACTTGTAGCACAGGAGCAATCATGCTTGGGATTCTTCTACAGTCGGAAACTAACTGAAAAGTAATGTTATATTTACTAAATATCCCCCTCTGTACCTTCTATACCCACCCTCTCTATGGCTTCCCCTCTGTACCTTCTATACCCACCCTCTCTATGGCTCCCCCTCTGTACTTTCTATACCCACCCTCACTATGGCTCCCCCTCTGTACCTTCTATACCCACCCTCTCTATGGCTTCCCCTCTATACCTTCTATACCCATCCTCTCTATGGCTTACCCTCTGTACCTTCTATACCCACCGTCACTATGGCTCCCCCTCTGTACCTTCTATACCCACCCTCTCTATGGCTTACCCTCTGTACCTTCTATACCCACCCTCTCTATGGCTTCCCCTCTGTACCTTCTATACCCACACCCTCTCCTATGGCTTGCACCCTCCTATACCTTCTATACCCACCCTCTGAGCCCCCTCTGTACCTTATACCCACCCTCTCTATGGCTCCCCCTCTGTACCTTCTAGATCCACCCTCTCTATGGCTTCCCCTCTGTACCTTCTATACCCATCCTCTCTATGGCTCCCCCTCTGTACCTTCTATACCCACCCTCTCTATGGCTTACCCTCTGTACCTTCTAGATCCACCCTCTCTATGGCTTACCCTCTATACCTTCTATACCCACCCTCTCTATGGCTTCCCCTCTGTACCTTCTATACCCACCCTCACTACGGCTCCCCCTCTGTACCTTCTATACCCACCCTCTATGAAACACCCTCTATACCTTCTATACCCACCCTCTCTATGGCTCCCCCTCTGTGCCTTCTATGCCACCCTCTCTATGGCTTACCCTCTATACCTTCTATACCCACCCTCTCTATGGCTTACCCTCTGTACCTTCTATACCCACCCTCTCTATGGCTCCCCCTCTGTACCTTCTATACCCACCCTCTCTATGGCTTACCCTCTATACCTTCTATACCCACCCTCTCTATGGCTCCCCCTCTGTACCTTCTATACCCATCCTCTCTATGACTTACCCTCTATACCTTCTATACCCATCCTCTCTACGGCTCCCCCTCTGTACCTTCTATACCCATCCTCTCTATGACTTACCCTCTATACCTTCTATACCCATCCTCTCTACGGCTCCCCCTCTGTACCTTCTATACCCATCCTCTCTATGGCTTCCCCTCTGTACCTTCTATACCCATCCTCTCTATGACTTACCCTCTATACCTTCTATACCCATCCTCTCTACGGCTCCCCCTCTATACCTTCTATACCCATCCTCACTACGGCTCCCGCTCTGCACCTTTTATACCCTCCCTCTCTATGGCTTACCCTCTGCACCTTCTATACCCACTAGGGTCATTGAGGACATATTGTGCCTGCGCTGTGATTACTTCTGGCGGGCATTCATTAGATATACTCTGCATTATCATGCCATCTTAAAGAAAACCAAGTAATGTGGCCACAACCAGATAGAGGAAGGGTTACTGCAGTACCCAAATACCTAAATTAAAAAAATCTAATAACTCTGCACTCTATGGCTCAAACAGGGTCAAATCCCCAAAAAAACAAAATAAATAAACCATTGCAGCACAACTAGATGCCAAATGCGCACAGGGAGTTTCACTGCCTTGGTTTCCGTATATTCTGTTAAGAAAACTGAGGGTGTTAAGGAGAACGTGGCTCTACTGGCCGTCTGTCAGCACGATGTAAACATTGTCTTTTCTCAGGAACAGCCGGCAATGTTTTATCTGTGTGTTAAAATGGCTACTTTAAGATGTAGTGGTTTTAGTGCACAGCGTGTCCTTTATTGACAGCAATCATAGAATTGATAAAATATAAGAAAGAAGCAGACTTCGGAGTCAGCGTTTATAGAGTAACTTGAAATGTGCAATATTTAAAATAAAGAAGGGGATCGGCTCATTATTTTTACTTTTTATTTATAGAGCGACAGCTGGCTCTACATGTGCCCTATACAGGAACATACAGGGTTAATCAGAATTCTGGAGCCAGCTAACTCGCTGTATAATCTGCACACACTGAGAGCATTATTCACTAAACTGAGAATTCAAAGTAAATTTTAAAATTAGGGCCAAAGTCTCCGACCTGCTAGCCTTAATGACTTAGAGAATTTTAGAAGTTTGGCTATTTTGATATTAAATTTGAAATTCACTATGCATCCAATTAGAATTCTCACATTAGTAAATGACTATGTCGGTAATATCATCGAAACCATTAAAATGGTAGCTTAGGGCTATGGCAACACACCTCACATATACAAATAATGATCATAATGAGTATAATCTTACAATAACAAAACTTTTCACTATTCCAGGGATACAGCAAACATTAATCAGGAGAATTTAACACTTTATATAAAAAATAATTAAATAATCTCAATCTGTGTCTATAAATGTCTGTTCTTTACAGACTTTGAGTTCCTGAATAACCTCCGTCTTTTAATGCCACAAAGATAACATTTATTATACACACATAGGGTTATTTGCTAGAGTGAATTTCGAATTGAAGGATAAAATATCCAAACTGTTCGCATAGCTGCCTTTATTTCAGGTTTGGCTGTTTTTACATTGAATTTGAAATCTCACTTTATTGAATAACCCGGATTTTTGCTACACAATCTTAGTATTTTTTGTTGTGATATTTTTTGGTATAAATTGTGTAACACCTGTTTGTATTCATTGTAATAAATGTGTTACCTAATCTAGAAACTTATTTTATGGGGTGTTCCCGACATTGTAACCCCCAAAATGGAGGAAGACTAATCATTTTATTTTATTGATTTCGGAGGTATGTTAATGAATTCTGGTATAAAGTTTTGCTTAAAACATGCATAGTATTGGCCTTGTCACCAGGCTTGTAAAGGGCCTGTTTGTAAAATCTACACATACAATTAGCTAATCAAGGAAAATAAACTTTCTTGGCACAGTATGTCCTTATGCAAATACGTTTGTGAGAAGTTTATGGGAATGTATGACACCACTGAGAGGAAACTGCAAACATCACTCGACTGTTTCTGCGAGTTGGCCTGAAGTAAAAGACACACAAATTGTATAATCTGCTTTCATACCTCCTAACATTTCAAATAGCCAAGAAAGGACCCTTCTAGTAGGCAGTGTGACTGTATATGTGACCAAGAGGCGGCTATGGGATATTTTAGATAACTTTGTTTACTCTGCCAGTCCACACAAGATGTACCCAGAACCTCATTCTCCTCTTCCACCTCCACCCCAGACACCTACAAATTCACACGCCATCTACAACATGGGCTTATACCCCTTTTGTTTTGTTTGACTGTTCAGACCTCTTTACTGTTTATATAATAACGGACCTTAGGTGGATCAACTGAGGGAGCCCTTTATTGGAGCCTTCCTGGAGGTAAGTGTAAGAGGGAGATGGGGGAGTAACGAGTAATGGTGTGGAAATTCAGATGGGACTTTGTGGCACGCCTTTGGTGCCGAGTACATGCAGTGATGGATAGTTTAACAGTGTCTCCACCTGAAAGTCTACTTAGACCAATATCTATGAAATCATACTCGGGTGCCACCTTGTTTTTCACTAATTAACTTACGTTCTGGACCAATATAGCTGTGGGTGAAATCTAGTGGATACTTTGCACAGATACATGTCCAGTTAGTAATGATGGAGACAAATAGCTGTGGAGGATTCCTTAGTCCAAATCTGTCAACGGGGCTCTGTAAACGGTCTAGATATCACGCAGCAGGATATCGGTGCAGTTGAAATGTTGATTTATCTTCCTGAACTGAATTTCTAATTATCTTTTACATAAGGAGATGCAGTGAAACAGAGCCAGGTAGATTGCATCTCCAGCTGTCACTGGGACAGTCTCCTCGCTGCTCGTCCCACTGCGATTCCTAAACCCTATGCTTCTCGTAGAGACGCTTTGAAGAAATACTGCGCATGTACGCCCATCACCGTTTTCCCCCAATCCAAAGCTGGTCATAGCAATGCACTGAATTCAGTGATTTTCAATGAGAATTTTGATCCTTGCGTTCAGGTCCTGCAAAGTCCATTTCCGATAACCTCATACTTTCACCATAACTAATCTCCATATACTCCTAATACTGAAAATTCTGTATTACCTGCTCTGTTAGTCCTGACAGGGAGAGCTCTCGACAAACAGTAATGAACTATGATTCAGGACTCACTGTTTCATGGAGAGTCTACTGAAAGTCTACTTAGACCAATATCTATGAAATCATACTCGGGTGCCACCTTGCTTTTCACTAATTAACTTACTTTCCGAAAAATATTTAAAGGGACACTGCACTGCCCAAATAAAAAATGTTTAGTAGATACACCCCACATGCACATATGCATTTATTTAATTCTGTCTTTTTTTTAATTTGGAGTATATCTTAAAACAGCTTAAAGGGACACTATAGTCATCCAGACCACTTCAGCTCAATTAAATGGTCTGGGTGCCAGGTCCCTCAGGTTTTAACCCTTCAGATGCAAACATAGCAGTTTCAGAGAAATGTTTACATTAGGGGTTAAGCCAGCCTTTAGTGGCTGTCTTCCGGACAGCCGCTAGAGGCGCATCTGCAACGCTGGAGGCATATTTCGAATCCATCGCCCAGAGCGTCCATAGGAAAGCATTGACAAATGCTTTCCTATGGACACTTTGATTGCGCGCACTTGCCGGGCATGCGCATTCGGCTCCACTGACGTCGGACGGGGGAGCTGACGTCGGATGGGGAGGAGAGGTTACCAGGGCCGAGGGAGCCCAGCGCTGGATTAAAGTAAGTAACTGAAGGGGGTTTAACCCTTTCAGCACCACGGGAGGGGGACCCTAAGGGTGGGGGCACCCTCAAGGCACTATAGTTTCAGGAAAACCGCTTTGTTTTCCTGACACTATAGTGATCCTTTAAAATAGTTGCAGATCTCTTGTCTCTAGCCTTTGCCAGCCCTCCCCTTCTAACCCCACCCAGACTTTCTGTGGCTGTCCAGTCACAGACTTCCCAATGCAGCTCAATGAGAAGTCTTTACACGGCAGGTGCTCTGGGCAATTGCTCCCTCTTGGGTTTATCTCCACTGAGCGAACCAAACCAGGAAGTAACAGGTCCTGTTGTCTGACAGTCAGGAGGGTGTAATAAGGATAATTTATAAAAGTGGCAATTTCTGTTGAAATCTGTGCTTTTTGTAAAATGAAAAAAAACAAGGCAGTCTTTACACAAAGCTTTTCAGTGAAATAAAGTACTTTGGGGGTCTGTGTTGTCCCTTTAAGCAAAGGCAATTGTGTCATTACAGTCCTGGCACATCATTAAGAAAGATATTAAGGAAACTCGTTACAAATACACGTATTTCTAATGTTAGAGTTTTCCATTTAGATTTTGGGACCCCACCTATAAATGAAAAATAAAGCTGTTTATCTTCACTTAGCCCACTTTGTGCTGGTCTCACCACCTCCGCCTTTTGCCACTCATTGAAGTCATCAGTGATGGCCTCACCCAATCAGAATGCTTCTCCATAAAGAAGGGCCTAGTGCGCATGTACAGGAATCAATATCTTCTCGGTCAGGAAATTAGAGATAGCCTTATACCATTAATTCTTTCTATTTAGTTAATAATTTATCTCCTTCCTTATCATATCTCTAAGGAGAGACACTGCATTGCTATACTTGCCAAACAATATGAATTGATTAATCTTGATTAACCTCAGGGTATATATCTGGGTATATTAAGTGCACTGCCATTTGGAGTTTATAAACTGCATAGCTTTGTGATCATAATGCTGTAATACTTGTACTGCCATCTTGTGTATTTCAATGGTAGTGCATTTTAAGCACTTTGTATTAAAAGGACCACTATAGGCACCCAGACCACTTCAGCTTAATGAAGTGGTCTGGGTGCCAGGTCCATCTAGGGTTAACCCTGCAGCTGTAAACATAACAGTTTCAGAGAAATTGCTATGTTTACCTATGGGTTAATCCAGCCTCTAGTGGCTGTCTCCCTGACAGCCGCTAGAGGCGCTTCTGCATTTCTCACTGTAAAAATCACAGTGAGAAGACGCTGATGTCCATATGAAAGCTTTGAGAAATGCTTTCCTATGGACTGATTGAATGCGCGCAGCTCTTGCTGCGCATGCGCATTTAGCGGTGATATCGGAAGAGGGAGGAGCGTTCCCCAGTGCTGAGGGAGCCCGGCGCTGGAGAAAGGTAAGAGTTTAACCTCTTCCTCCCCCTTCAGCCCGGCGAGAGTGGGACCCTGAGGGTGGGGGGTACCTAAAGATCCTATAGTGCCAGGAAAACAAGTTAGTTTTCCTGGCACTATAGTGGTCCTTTAATTTACATTTCAAGTTGTATCAAAATTAACCTGTGCATTGTTTTGGGGCTATTTTTGTCGGACGCATACAGTGAATCACATACATTGTTCCTATTTTTGGTAATTTATATCTATAACCCATATTTATCAATTTACGGTTACATTATATCCGACAGTCTCTATGGGAAACATTCAACATCATTATACAGAGCATGTAGACTTTGAACGTTCGCCCAGCAATGATAGCAGGACCGTAATACAAAGTGCGTCTAGTGGCTGACTGCGTGACTGGTGGATTGTCGGAGTGACAGCCACTAGAGGTGTCATTAGAGAGCAATGTAAATACAGCGTTT